CTGGGAGAGTCTTTAGGATTGTTGAAGGGGATTTTCAGTCAACAAAGGCAGAGGACCACTGGGGGCTGATGGGAAAGCGCTTGGTTTAAAACAAGTAAGGCAACTGGCCATCATAGCCTGGCTACCGTTTCTGAAATACTGACCGATTTAAAGCCCTTCCTGCTAAGCCAGTTCTGCCTCCTCTCCTGTACCCTGCCCACCATCAAGGCTTAACCACGAGGTTGAGGTCAGAGAGAACTTGGAAAGAAATTCTAGCTAGGCAAGGGAGGCCCAATGGAGATGTCGGCCCCAGGGAGCCCTGGGGTCCTGTGGGAGGGAGGAGGAAGCTGCAGCGGGGAGATGCTGGACTCTGAGCTCCTTTCCAGACCCTGGCCCAGGGCAAGGAAGAGGCATGGACAAGCTGAGGAGAGCACTGTGGGCCGGGGCTTTTGCCTCTATACCCACCTGGGGTGGCCACCTCAGAGCAATCCCACCCCCAGCATGGACAGGAGGAAGGGAAGGGGACCCAGGCTGGGGACCCACTGGTGCCCACAGACACCAAGAGCAGCTCAGAAGGAAGCTGTGCTGTGGCAAGGCTGGGGCTCAACATGCCAGGCCAAGGACTGGGGCAGGGTGTTTGGGTGCAGCGAGCTCCCTGAGAACCCCAAACCACTGAGGAGGGTGGCAGGGGGCAGAGCGAGCTTGGGGCCACTGGCCCTGATGGGTTGGAGAGAGGCCAGATCCCCAGATTGCCTGAGGAACAGGCTTCACACCCCAGCACTGCAGGGCCATTTCCATGGGAGCAGCCCCTTGCCTGGGACTGGAGTGTGATGGTGGGCAGTGGCACAGCCCCCTCACCGAGTTCCTAAGGGCTGGCCACTGCAGGCAGGGGTGGGGCACGTGCTCGGACAGGAAAAGCAAAGCAAGTGGACCTGCAGTGTCTGAATGTTTGCGACCCCCACCCCCTCCAGTTTCAAATGTTGAAACCTAACCCCCAGTGCAATGGCGTTGGGAGGTGAGGCCTTTGGGAGATGATTAGGGATGAATGGGCTTTGTGTCCTTACAAAAGAAACCCACAAAGCTGGCTGGTCCCTTCTCCAGGTGAGAGCACAGGGAGTGCCGCCTGTGAACCAGGAACTGGGGCCTCACCAGACACCGAATTTTGAACTTGGACTTTCCAGGCTCCAGAACAGTGGGCAATAAATTTCTATTGTGTATAAGCCACCTAGTTTATGATATTTTGTCAGCAGCCGGAACGGACGTAGGGCCCTCATGAGGCGACATTAGAGGAAGGCTGGAGGAACCCAGGATACCTAACCAGGGTTAAGCTACAGGTTCTGGAGTCATGATTTATTTGGCAGTCTTGAGCTTCATCAGAACCCAGAGATAACCCTGCCTCATCAGTGGTGAGGCTGGTCAGCTCCGAGCCAGCATGTTGAGAAGATCAAATAACGGAGTAAGTGAAGATGCAGATGTGGGGGCCCCAAACTGGCCTGGGGGGCTTTGGCTTTGAAAGTTGCTTCTATCCAGAAGTGGCTCCTTGGGCAGCCACTAATTTGCTTTCAAGGACACAGGGTTAGGAGGCTGTCATGGATCTGAAGATACAGAGACAAGTTGTGTCTGGGGATACGGATCTGAATGACCTTCAACCAGGAACAGACACAGGCAAGTGCCTTTCCAGCCTTTCTACTATACAGGATGCTCATTTCAGGTGTCTCTTCAGGATCCACACCCCTGGCTATGTTTCCCTGTTGTGTGCCTTGGTTTTCTGCTTTGAGTGAGAATTCTGCAACATGTGAGTCATTTTGTTGTTGTTGTTTAGCAAGTGTGCTTTGAGCCCTGACTGCATCCCAGGCCCCCTACCAGGTCTTAGGGTGGATGGTAGCAAATGGCCTGGACCTGGTTGCTGTACTCCAGCAGGCCACAGTGTAGTGCAGCGCTGTCCGGAAGAAATGGAACGTGAGCCTCCCCTTGCTAATGTGAGCACCTGTATGCCCATTCTCCAGCCTCTGCGGTCCCAATCAGCCTGGGGAATGGGAGGCTCCTGAGCTGCAGGTGACCTCCTGCTCATGGTGGCATCAGCATGCCATGCAGGTAAGGTTTCTAAACATAAAGGACTTGCCTGCAGAAAATGGGAAGAAGGGCGGCTGTCTGGATTTGACTAGGGAAGCCTCCTGGCTGCTGTTTATTTTTATGTGGGTGAAAGAAACAAGGTTTTAAGTAAACACTCAGTGGGCAACCATTTATTAACTGAGTGGTTTGCTATGCTGACCATCAGTGACCTGCTCTTGTTACTATGTATCAGATAATTAGTGTCACACTGTCATTACCGTAATAACATGCTACAAATGCTGTTGTGGCGTGCTGGAGAGCAGCTTTGGGAGGGAATTCTACAGCAAGCAATAGAAAGTACAACTGAGAATTACTCAAGTCTTTTTCACTGCGATTTGGAAAAGACGCCTTTTTGTAGAATGAAATCGTTTTTCAGGCTGGATTTTTTAGTTATTTTTATTATTTTATTAATAAAAAAGGTTAAATTTTTATTAGTCAAGGTCTTTGCAGCGCAGAGTGGTTTGGTCGTTCGTTGGAGGAGCGTCGGGTTTTCGCTGGGAAACCGCGGCTCTTCCCAACTTCCGAGCTGGGGAAAAGAAAACGGCCCGAATGAACAAGCCACCGGCTCCTAAGTCCTCGCGGAAAAGGCCACCCCTCCACAGCCGCCACCCCGCTCCCCACCAACAGCTGGCCACGAAGGCCGCCAGGAAAGGCCCCCTCCGGCGGGTGAAGCCTCCTCGCTCCTGGTTCTCCGCAGTCCGCCAGCAGCGCATCCGAAGCCGCCTCTGCCGAGGCAGGTGCGGTAGATCGCGCAGGATTTCAAAAGCCACCCTAGGTTGCCCCGCGCAGGCATCGTGCGCTGCAGGAGCTTAGAAGCACCCGGTGCGTCTGTTTGAAGATGCGAACCTGGGTGCGGTTCACGCCGAGAGTCACCGTCGTGCCCAAAGGTATCCAGCTGGCTCGCCGGATACCCAGAGAGAGCTGAAGTGAAGGCAGTTTTTATGGCGTTTTGTAGTAAATTCTGTAAAATACGTTGGTTAGTGACTTTTGTAAGAAATTGTTTATACTATGCTGCATTTGTGCTCGTCATTCCATGTTCCACTCGGGAGGGATGCGAAGAGCGACCGTCCACAGACCTCAGTGATGTGAGCACTGCTGCTCAGGAGTGACCAGCTGCAAATGTGCAGGAGCCATGGGTGATATTTCTTGCTTCTCATGATGCATGTTTCTGTATATTCATGACTTGTTGGGTAGCGATGAAGGCACTAGAATTGATCAACGTCTACAGGGTCCTTTTGCAATAAAACTGGTTATAACAGCCGGGCGCAGTGGCTCGCGCCTGTAATCCCAGAACTTTGGGATGCTGAGGAGGGCGGAATACGGGGTCAAGAAATCAAGACCATCCTGACCAACAGGGTGAAACCCCATCTCTACTACAAAGACAAAAATTAGCTGGGTGTGGTGGCGCATGCCTGTAGCTGAGGGAGAATTGCTTGAACCTGGGAAGGGGAGGTTGTAGTGAGCTGAGATAGCACCACTGCACTCCAGGTCACAGAGCACGACTCCTCAAAAAACAAACAAGCAAACAGAAAACTGTTTGACTTGATCCAAGTGTTTAACAATTAGGGCTAAGTTTGACCATACATTGCTGTGATAGAATGTGGGCTTTTTCAAGGATGAAGATACAAGTCTTAACCACAGTATAACTTACAGTTTCCTTTAAAAAAAAAAAAAAAAGTAAACCTGGATGCTATAGAATACACTATGTGCATTTATAATATTTAATTTGTAAATATTAAAAAAAGTTTTACATTCACAAGTGAAAAAAAAAAAGATGGTTGATATAGTTTGGCTGTGTCTCCACCCAAATCTCATCTTGGAATTGTAGCTCCCACAATTCCCACCTGTTGCAGGAGGGACCTAGTGGGAGATAATTGAATCACAGGGCGGTTCGCCCATACTGTTCTCATGGTAGTGAATAAGTCTCATGAGATCACATGGTTTTATAGGGGGTTTCCACTTTTGCTTGGCTCTTATTCTCCTGCCTGCTGCCATGTCAGACATGTCTTCCAGCATGATGGTGAGGCCTCCCCAGCCATGTGGAATCATGAGTCAGTTAAACCTCTTTTTCCTTATGAATTACCCAGTCACAGGTATGTCTTTATCAGCAGCATGAAAATAGACTAACATAATCATAGTCTTAGTTAACAATCTTTGCTTTTCTCTGGTCAAACAGGTTTGAACTTTAACTGAAGAACAGCCTTTCGAGCAAACGTGTAGTTTTTAAGGGGTTTTCAACTATCTGAAGTAAATGTAACAATATTTAATGGAGGAAAATAAGCTATGGCTTACGAGTGTTACTGGGAAAATGTTGGCATTTTGGGGACTATCCTATGTAGAAATGTTAAAGTAAATTAAAATGGAGACCAGACCTGAAGAATCCCTGGGCAGACAAAAAGAGTTAGGCCTCATAAATGACCTAAACCTTGCTTGCTTTGCAAACAAGTGGAACTCAACTTGAGCTATTTGTTGTAAATGCCTGTATTGAAGAAAAACAGGATTTAAACTCAACTGACCAGAGCAAGCAACAAACCTACATAACCAGGGACCTTCCAAGGGAACAGATCAAATGAGGCACGTGTAGCTGGGGCCACAGACTCTGCACCTGTCCTATGAAAGCCTTCCCCGCGCTTCCCCCAGTGGAGCTCCTGAACCACATCTGGTTTGGAGCTGCCCAATTCATAAATCATTGTTTGATCAAATAAATTCTTTAAAATTTATTCGTGCCTCAGCTTACTGTTCAACAGAATGAATTTTTAGATTTCAACATTCAAATCAGAGTTCTGTGAAAGGCTGATAGATGCGTACTGATATTAATGTTTCCCCAGAGTGACCAAAGACATTAAGCATCTTTGCATGTACTTATTTGCCACTTGTATGTATTATTTAGTGATGTGTCCGATCATCTGCCCATTTAAAAAACTTGCTTTATTGAATTTTGAGAGTTCTTTACATATTATGAATATTAACACCTTTATCAGATATGTGATTTATAAATATTCATCAACAGTCCGTTCCTTCACATTGCTGAGTAGTATTCCAGCATGCGACGTCCCACAGTAAGTGATGTCCATTCCCCTGTGGATGCTGAATCTCCCTGAAGTACAATTTCTTTTTAAAAATTCCCTTTGGTTCCTAGAATCATGTTTTCTTGAGAGGCATTCATTGCTCTTTTATGATGCAGATTTTTCTAAGTATCTGGTGCTTCTTGCTCTCTGGTTCACATTTTCTAAAAAGGACCAGAAAGGCTGAGCGGGAGCTGTAATTGTGGCAGCCCCATGCCCCCGCCTGGCTTCCTGGCAGCTTGAGGCAGGAGGTGACCAGCCATTATGGGACAGGATCCCTAAAGACCAAAATGTGGAGACTTCATTTTGTTTCCTGGGATGCCAATACCTCGTTGCTGTGCTTTTCCCCAACGAGTTAATTTTTGTGTTAGGAGAGGCCATCTCCTCAGCCCACCTTTCTCTTCCCCAGCAATGGGCACGTCACTCATTTCTGGGCTCTCCATGTTCTCCGTGGGGAGTGGGAGTGCAGAGGACACTGCTGTCTGCTGTGTGCCCCATGTTTAGCTGGTCTTATTTTGAGGTGCTCATTTCCCTTCCGCCCTCTGTCAACCCAGGTGTGAGGACCCACAGTCTCAGCAGTGCGCCATGGCCCTCTGCCCTGCTGCATCAGGCCCATTTCGACCCGGGCTGTGGTCTGCCTGCAGCGATGACTTTCTCTCACATTATGGGGCTACTCCCCTACTTAAATTCCTTTGAGGTGATTTCAACTGGGGTCAGGATAGGGAGTGGAGAAGGAAAGGTGTATGTTCAGCTCATCAGATTTAACTGGAAGCTCTCAAGGCTACTTTTAAAATCATAAAAGCCGTTCCCAGTAAGTTTGTTTTAAAGGAAATCCCCTTTCCAAATCACTGTAGATAATAAACAGTAGTGGCAAAGAAACAAATAAAAACAGAAAACACAATGAAAGAATGTTTCAATGTAACAATCAGTAAAAGAATTCGAGCTACCTTATTAAACGGCAAAGTCTATTTATTATGTTTTTAAAGACAGCGAAAACAAATGGCATTTAAAAACTTCAGATGAGAGGATAAGGCAAAGAATGACAGATGAATTCATCAAGATAAAAAGTAGTCTGGCAATGTTTTGATCCAAGTAGAATTTAAGTCATGAAGCATTCCACAGGAAGATTACTGTATAACACCTACAGGCTGAGGGGAAAGCTTTCAAAGCCATAACAGCAAAACAGAAAGCAAAAATTATTAGAAGGAAGGTTAGCTACAGAAGACAAAAAAAAGGCTGTTGAGAATTTTAACAACATAATTATTATGTTTCAATTAACAAAGAACAGGATAAATCTTAAAAATTGGTCTTGTTAATTTACAGAAGGTGATCATTCTTTATGAGAGAAAACTCAAAATCCACAAAGGAAAAATTTCACAGACAATAATCTCTACTATGTCCACATGCAGGCAACAGAACAAAAAGCTAGCTCTAGAGTAGAGGACAAAGAGAAACCACTCGAGACCAGAGCATATTGATGGCGCATGGTGAGTGACCCATGGCCTACAGGTGCCTGCTAAGGACCCAGGAGCCCCTCCAACGGGAACTGCAGCTCACTCCCTAGAAACCACCACCAGCACCCCTCCTTGCCTGATGATGTCACCTGGTGGGCTGGGTTGGAACAAGTCCAGATGCCTTTGCTCAGCCTTGGAAGGACTGCGTGGAGCTTCCTCCTCTATCCCCAAGTTCTCCATTTACATACAGCACCTGGCATGAAGGCTGGAAGTTCTTCTCAGGCCATGACTGCACAATGGCTACTCCAGACCTCTGTGGCCTCCAGGCTCCAAGACAGATCTCAGCCCTATGGAGTTGGGAGGCAACACTGCTGTTGACCTTGAAGGGAGCATTGTAGGGGCTATAGAAGGGATCGTGACATTTGTTGCTCTTTAATAAGACAGTGGTAAATTCTAGTCTCATACACATGTGGCAAGAGGTAGCCAAAGAGGTAAATTTGAAATTAGAAAAAATGTCAGCAGTTTTTACCCGGAGTTTGAAATTCTGACCTGTTATATGGTGGAATACTTCAATCTCCATTTTTTGTGTTTTTTTTTTTTTTTTTTTTTTTT